GGAAATAGGTCAGTATCTGTTGATGTGGAATTTCTGACTGAATCAACCAATAAGTGCTTTTATTTTGAAAAAAAAAACCTTAGCATCCTTGTTATGACTCCTTCCTATGCTCATTTTACCTGTTCATATTTTTTTTTGGTTTATTATTTTTTTTTACATTTTTTAGGATTATTAAGGAAAAATGTATTTAATTTAAGACACGTGATGAATTAGAAAATAAAGCATGAGGAGCATGTAGTGAGTAAATGTGAGAAAACATCGAATTTCTCTATAAATGGAAGAGAAAGTGCCTGTCTTTCACGTTTTTAGAGTGTGACTTCAAGTCAAGTCTCTAATGCAAGTCTAAGTCAGAAGTGTTTGTTTTTGGGAATGTCCTGCTTGTCAGTCACCATCTCGTGTTCATGCAGCATTTAAACTTTGAAAATTTTTCATAATACATGAAAAATAGGATTGTCTAAGGTAACCATCCCCACTATGTGTGGGCAAACAACCGCAATCCCCAATAAATCATTTTCACAACAAAATTAATGTCTCACTGCAGGTGTAGGAGCATATTTAAATAAGCTAATGAAAATGCTACAAATTGATTTCAAAATCATAACAGAAAAGAACATTAATAAATTGTAACAAGCATCGTTTTATGGACATGAGATTTAGGAAATTTGCTGCAGAGGTGACGAAGAGTTGTTAAAGTTTTCGGACCGATTCCACAAGCCTTCATTACTTCTGTGACAGCTGTTGTTAAATGCTGCAGCGCATGAGAAAATGGGTGTAAATTGGCGTTTCTTCCTGGCTAAGGCGCAGCTGCTGGCAGGTGTTAATTTCCTACCATTTTAGTTCAGCATCTTAACTGATTTCCTCTAACAAAAAATGTTCACTCAAATTTTGTTGGGAATTGTGCAAATCTGTGTGTCAAGAAGCTAAGATTGGAAAAGGCGAAACGTGTTTGCCCAGGGCTTCCTCTATCTCTTTCACTGTCTTCCCTTTCCTCCAAGTCTCTTTTGCTCTTTGTCTCAGGTTCCACATTCCCTCGAGGGGACATTGATTTGCTGCAGGCAGAGCAAGCTCCCTTCAGCCCAGAAACACACACACACATTCACACATAAAGTGGTTTTTCTATCTCTTCAGAGGACGACACACCGATTTAATACAATTTTCCTGAGACTTCTCCTAAAACTCTTCATTACATAATCCAACCCGAAAATAAAACTTCCTTTTAAAACCAATGATTAGTAACACAGTGGCTTTGGGGGTGTTGTGCCCTGACAAGAAGTTGATTTGCACATTGTGTTGGAGCAAACAGATCCATGTCCCCAGAACACATTGCGAATCCACGTACACACCTGTCAATCAGTCAGCCTGTCCAGAGAGAGTATCGGCTGCAGGAAACCGACTGACAGACTGCACCGAACATCTGCTGTAAGCTCACAAAAGAAAATGCACAGTCTTGCATGCATGCATCTGTTTAATGGTTGACGGTTGGATAATTTTGTTGTCAGGCATTTCATTTTCCGCCTTTGAGATTCAAGTATTTGTTCTGTAAAACAATGACATTCAATTTCAAATCTAAATTTGTTTTGCATTTTTGGTCGGATAAATGTGTTTAGACCATAAAAAGCAAAAGATGTTAGGTGAACTGGGGAAAAAAGAGATCTGGTAACATGTAGGTGCATCTCAATAAATTAGAACATCCACAAGTTAATTTGTTCCGGTAACTCATAAAGTGAGAGTCGTTTATATTCATTTCACACGGAGTGATATTTTTAAAGAATTTATTTGTATTCATTTGAATGATTATGGCTAATAGCTAATGAAAACTAAAAATTCAGTTTCCCAGGACATATCTAGGACCCAGGCTTCACCTGTCAGATGCATCTTACCTTGACTTAGGAGAAAATGGACCGAACTGTTGCTTAGTGGTCCAATGTACCGTTTTCTGATTAAAGTACATTTTGCAATTAATTTGCACGGAAAGATCCAAAGTCTAAATGAGGAGTGGAAAGACTGGTTGAGGTTCAGTGAGGAGTTTCCTGTCAGTGATGATTTGGGGAGCTGTGTCATCTACTGGTGTTGGTTCAATCGTCAGAGCAGCTATCTACAGGGAAATCTTAATCTTCATTCCTCCCTCTGCCAGCAAGGTTAATGGAGATGTTGATTTCTCTTTCTAGCTAAACTCGGGACCTGCCCACACTGCTGACAGTACAAATACCTGGTTTAGTGACCATGTTATCAATATGTTTGATGGGACCACAGGTTGATCACCTCCATGCCACACTGCACTGATCCAGTAATTCATGTAAAAGGGGCCTCTACAAAGTATTGAATACATACGCTGTACAGTACATGAACATACTATTCAGCAGGCCAGGATTTCTGAATTAAAACCCTTTTTTATTAGTCTTGTGTTTGAGAGAAACAGATATTTTAATCTTTAAAACATTTTAATGATCAAAATACACCTTTCTTTGTATTAAAAGTTTCACAATTTTAAATCAATGGCATTGAATTGAGTTACTGAGAGAAATCGGTGATATTTTAATTTGAGATTCACCTATATAGTGTTCCTATAATTACTTGGATGCAGAAAAAATAAACGTAGAAAGACAGCTGAATGTCCCCATAGCACATAGTGTGGATCAATCAATAAGGAAACAGTACACTATAATAATTTCTATTCAAAAGGGAAGTGATTGATTGTGCCTCCACTTGTATCTATTTGTATTTATTCGAAACCTAACAATACATTAGCTGAGAGGCAGGAAGAAGAGACTGACTGGAACAAAGAATAACTCAGATAGGCGACAGATTTGGTTTTCTTAGCTTCAATCTTATCTTGTCCAAATATTCAGATAGTGAAAACAATCAAACTAATGAAATCGAATTGAGCCACCTCTTGAAAGAATGCAGATGGCATCAGTTACATGACAGATTAATAATTTAGTGGCATTTGATTTTGCTAAATAAAGCTTTCTTCTGTCTTTTGTGCATGTTTGGAGCTGAAATGGCACCAGCTCCTCGTGACAACAATAAGTGTTTCCCAGCTCCTGATTGAGGGGGCATCAGATCAGTGAATATTTCGGTGATGTATCTTTAATGCCTGTGTGTTGTGCTGTGGGTTGTGTTAAGACACCGATTCTTCCCCTGTCTTCCCTATAAAAATGACGCAGAGGAAATTAAATTTTGACATTCGGGATATAGCTTGCCAGTTGCTATGGTAGCAGCAGTCTGCCTGTTGAGCGCTCCCTGTCTATTCTTCTGCCCCTTCTTTTCTGATTTCACCACCGTTGATTACCATGCAGAGGACAGATTGTCTGAGGTGAGGACATGCAAACACCCAAAGGTGTCCCGGTCTGCCAGCATGCAGTGGGAAATCAGTAAGGTGTCATTTCCTGCATCAGCACTTTCTGCTTTGGACCTGTGTGCAGATGCAACATATGACAACCTGTTAGAAAAATGTCAACATTCATGGACAATTGTACTGTTTCAAGTGCATTTTTATTTAAATGAAGGAGGAGAAGCCACTAAAACCGAATTAACGGATACATTAGATGTAGCACATGCTTTAGTCGCCAGCAGCTGGAAGACTACGACGCAAAAAAGATATGATGCAACACAAAATGAAGTGAAAGCATTCTCTAACTTTAACACTTTTCATTCTCTTAGTTTTGGTCTTAAATCGGCCATCGTAAGCATAGGCCAATATGAAATTCTTATAGTAGGATAACCTTGCTGAAAAAATTCCATAGTTTCATGATATCAGAGTATTTAAATATAAACTAAAAGAAAATGTATAACCTGATCAAATTCCTTTTATTTGAAATGACAGTTATTACTATGGCTGCCTAAATAATGCAATATATGAGAGTTATAATTATGTTATCTATAACATTTGTTATACTTAAGTAGCAATGTGGAATCAACAATCAACGAGCAGAATAGTAAGGCTTTTCTGCCATTCGGCTCTTGGTAAACTAACAGTGTGCCAAGCTGATGTTAGCTGAATAACATATTGTGCTCTCTGCTCAAGTTGGCACTCTGCAGTCAAATACTGCCCTAATGACTTGCCAATTGCAGTTTTAAAACTGTGTTATTTTATTAGGAGTGATGCGCCTTTTGTTTCGACACCGCGACTGAATATAGTTGGTAAGTCTTGTAGTACTTGTTCAGAACTGTCTGGCAATGTGTAGCAACAGGTGGAGGAGTAAAAAACAGGAGAAAACCCGTGTCACTTTCTCTGGTGTCCGATTAAAAAAGTCAGTTTCAAAGCAAGTTTGGTAGTTTTAAAGCTTTAAAATTTCAAAACTTTGGTATCCCTTGATATTCAGTGCCATCAAAAGGTTTTTACCCCTTTTCAGATTTCTTCTGGTTCTGCTTTTCTTTATGACGCTTACATTACAACAAATGTTATTATCAGACAAAGGCATTCTGAGAAATGCCTGCATTAATTTGTTCACTTATCTGGGGAAAAAAAGTCAAACTTTGTGACATTAGGCACATATACTGAGGGAAGTAGGGTGAGTAGTGGGCTTTATCAATAGGTTGTAGCAATACTTTTCTCATTTTTAATGTATATATATATTAACTTTTGTTATGTGATGTACAATTTGATGTTAGTGGCTGTTTATATGCCCTGTATGTTTTTTTTGTACTGTTCTTTGCGTCAAATATGTTTTGTCATGTCAGGTGCTGCAGATGGAAATTATCTCTGAGAGTTGGAAAATGTTCATAAACAAAAAGCTATCTACATCAACCAGGCCCATGTGAAAAATAATTGTTCCCTGAACTAAATAACTGTTTGTGCCACCCTTTGTCTAAACAACTACTATCAAGTGTTAGACATAACTGGTGATGTGTATTTTTCATCCCTGTGAGGAATTTTTGAGGGTTTTCAGTCATGAATGACATGTTTTTTTTAAGACTTTTTTCGGCACTAGAGGCCTTTAGTTTTGATAGTAGGTAGACAGGAAGGAGGGGCAATGAGAGGGGGAGACATTCGGCAAAGGTCGCCGGGTCCGGGACTCGAACCCGGGACGGCCGCCACGAGGACCATAGCTTCTACATGTGGTCGCGCGCTTTACCCCTATACCACCAGCGCTGCGCCATAAATGACATCTTTAAGGGCAAACCACAGCATCTCAATTTGATTTAAGCCCAGACTTTGACCAGGTATCTCTAAAGGTTTTCCTGCTTTATAACCCAGATGTGCTCGAGGTGGGAAGATGTTCTTCCTCAGGCTTTTCTGCTATTGAGGAGAATTCCTAATTCCCGCAATTATGGGAAAAGCAGCCCAGGCCATCACACTATCACAACCAGGTTTTCTCTTAAGTCCACATAATATTTTCCCAAAGTCATCAAGATGTTTCTTGTCTAATATAACTCTGACCTATGTATTCATTTTCTCCATTTGTGGATAAAGGCTCTCAGTGAGGTTCACTGGAATCCTGATGCAATGAAAATTGCTTTGTTTCCAGAGTTATGGATGTCAGTGACTCTATTTCCTTTGCTGTTTTTTTTTATTTTAGAACAGGTCATGCTGTGTAGCTTTTACAAGATCTTTTAGCTTACTTTATGTTGTCAGACAGGGTCTGTTTAAGTGATTTCTTGATTCTACATGTCTGGCAGTAAAGTTTGAAATGGCGGTCAGATTTCCAAAATGTGGTTTATAACCGATGGTTTTCCATGGCGGATGACATGAGATCATCATTAAATACACTGTTTTCTTTCCAAAATGTGATAAAATGCAAATGTTTTGTACAGATTAGATTGAACTGTTTTAGTGGAGTATACTGTTTGATGATGGGTAAGTTTTATTGTTAGAACAGCATTTTTTTCTGGTGAAGCTTTGACTATAAGCATTAACTGATATCAATCACAATGGATGGAATTTGTTGTCTCTTTTATTGTCATCACAATAAATACTACATAATCTATATCGCCAGTCTTGACCTTGTTATCTATAACTGGCCCATGCCGAGTCCATTGTAATGTACTCTTAGTTGGCCTGGTAGTCTCCTGCTAAAATCTGTAATAACAGATTATAGAACTGTCTCATGTATACTTGCAAACTAACGAACACATCATCAATGGCTTAATGTTAACGATATAAAATAAAATATATCAGCTGTGATTTTGTACAATCCCATCAGATTTAACAGGTGGGAACAATTGGTTCAGTACAACTTATCCACATGCTTCCCTCTGTTCTAAGTCACATACTTAACATGTACTTAACCTACACATGTGCAAGCTGACACCGAACAACACTAAAGAGAAATCCCGCGGAGCCTTGGAGCAGAACAGGGGACAGATAAAAAGCACTGCGGCATGATTTGCAGACCCAAAGACACATGCAGTTTAAAGTAGATGTCTGGAGGAACAAAGAAAGGATTTCCCTCCCTCTGCGTTCACTTCGCTAGCTTAGGATGTACAATTTCTTCATCCAGCAAGAAGTGACATGGCTCTGGCTTTCACTGCGTATTAATCAGTGCTCTGTGGACTTTATACATTATAATTTAATCAATATGTGTTGGTTACTTTTATTTGATCTTGACATGTTTCACCTTGGGAAACTTGTTTTAATATTCTTACAGCCCATGCCCAGAAATCCCTTGTTGCCACTAAGAATTTGGTTCTCAAGATGAGTTAGAGTAACAGTCTAACGTTTACAGCCTAAATATGTTAAAAACTTTCATCTGCTGCTATGCATATTTCTTTTTAAGAGTTGTTTCTGTCCTATTAACTCCCCTATTATGAGCATATTAACTGTGTTACAGATTGTTCTAAACATTTTGGTCCATTTTATAATCTGCCACACAGAAATACAGTATTGTCGCAACAAATAAGACCTTTCTTTTGTTTCCTTTGTAGCTCCCCCACCAAGTGTTCTTTGTACTCATTCTCTATTGGTAACATTTTTAAGATATCTAGCCTTTTTGTTCCTCTTTAAAATGTTTTCTGACTTTGCTTCTTGCTTTCTGAAACAAATCCCTTTTACTATCCCAGCAACAATATGCTAAAGGAAAATTCCCATTTGAATTAGTTGCTAATCTGCTTCATTTATCGACTTCCGTGGTGCCAAAAATAGTCTGAAGGATGCAAGCTGTTCACTATTATGGTCCAGGTTATTTGTCAAAGGCTTAGCTATCTGAAAAAAGGTGTAATTATAAGAAAGTCCATGTTGTTGACAATACGGGAAAAGTCTGAATAATGACTGGAATAATTTAAACTGCTGCCCCTGATTTGGAAAAAAAAAAAGGTTATGTTTCATTTGCATAGTTGTCAATTATTCAATTTACTAAGACATTAAACATAAAAAAGAAACCTCATGTAAAAAAAACAAAACATGAATTTGATAAAAAAAAGAAATTGGAACAATAATTCCCCTTTAAAACAAAAAGTGATTCAGTTTGAATTGAATGCCTTTACTGACTCTCTAGGAAAAATACAACTGAATATAGTTTCTGTGCAGACAGTTTAAAGACTCACAGTGAGTATTTCCCAGTTGTGTGCCACTGTAGGACTTAAATAAGTCCACCAGAGTTAAGAACTCAAAGAACAACCTATAAGTGTTTATATGTTTGCCTTAAATGTCATATTTGTAGTATTTTGTATTTAGATTAAACAAGACGTGGTCTGCTATTAATAGCGACTAATGTTTTCATGACTGTTGGCATTTAGCTTTGAACACAGAGGTTTTATGTTTATGGCTTCTGCTATCAAACGTAATTCTCACCCTTTTATTAAGCTTTGAAAATGAGATGTGGAGAGCAAAATTAAAGAAAGATGGTGCAGTCATCATACTTTTCTGACTTGGCATCTTACATTTGTATCTATTTATTGCTATTATTATTACTTGTACCAACGTGCGTGTAAAGATTATGATTCTTGATTAATTAATATTCATCACAAACCGTAATTAAAAATCATAATTCAGGAAAATAATTTCTTAACCAAAAATCATTATTTATGAATAGAAATCAGAGATGTCCTCTGGTGTTGTGATTATGGGCTCAAAGCTCTCAATAATTACATTAGTTATTTATCATTAATAATTGATAATAATTAACCAAAACCACTAAATGTCACTGTTTATTCAACTGCTTCACCAAGGGTGGGGGAACTTCGACCTTGTTTTGACAGATAAATCACTCTTGCATGAAGTAAAAACAAACTTAAATATAAATATGAAGATTTATTGAAGCCATATAGCCCTGATATACCACCATTCTGGTCCAAAAACCTTCACCTAACAAGCACTATTCTGCAAAAAGGGGATAAAAAGGACTACCTAACAAAAATAATAAAAGAAAATATATGCTCATTGAGTGTCTATGCAGATCAAACCAGCAGTTTCATGGACAGAATGTGCAGTTTGGGTTAACTTGGACAGTGGAGCCTTCCTGGTGTACTGATTGTTCGATAGCGGCGATCAGCTGGTAAAACGGTGGGCTGCGCCCTTAGCCACTAGCAGCTGATTGCCCCAAATCTCAAACAAAGAGTAATAAAACTCTGAGATGGGAACTCAATGGAAAAACTCCAGTAATAAAACTGGGACAAAGGAGTGGTTAGGCTACGAGGCCCAGACCGCAGTTGCTTTGAAAGGAAATCTTTAAAAGTCCAACTTCTAACTCCTGGCTGATTTGGGATCAGCTGGACAAAAACATGAACATGCACCTTGCACAGCAAATCAAAACAGCTCAGCATAAAACACTTCAATCAGTATTTCATGCAACAGGTTAATACCTTGGATTAACTACTGGTGATTCTAAATCACCTTAACTATGCCTCACCCTGCCCAGGCTTCTAAATACACCTATCCCATTTAATATAAAAAGAACAAAACTCATCTCCTTGGAAATATAACCTCTGTAGGTTTTCACCTGTGCCGGGTGTCGGCGGGGTCTTTGATCAGTTTATGTATCTTCTGACCTTCTTGTATCAGACAGATTTCCAGCTTTCAAGCTCTTTCAGGAATGGCCGTATGGAGGAAAAGTTCACCTGTGAGCTTTTGTCTCTCCAGATATGCGCCTCCGTTGCGTCGTCCTGTGAGACAAGCTGGAAATGGCAACGAAAGTTTATTTTCCACTGGTTTTATAATCCTGGGTGACGTCAGAGCTGCAACATCTGTTGAGCTGCGCGTTGACCTGCGCAGCCCAGCAGGTCTATCCCCCAAAATGGATGACCCCAACATGCGCTTTACAGAAAATATACTGAATCTTCCTTATGTTTTTTTTTTGCTTTATATGACATTTGATGCAGAAATGTTTGTCTATCACGGTAGTCATAGTTTTACAAATGAGGCTGAGCGGCTTAAAGAACAAGTTTTAAATTAAGGGAAAGGTTGTCTTAATTCAAAATTAACCAGCTGAGAAGTATTCTATGGATGTGCATCACAGTCTTAGTAACTAACATTAATAGAAGCTTGCTTACTTTTGGCATATATTGAGAATTATTTCATATTTCTCCCCACTGTTTTTTCCACTCTAAACCTTACAACAATCAATCTAAAAACATAAAATGTGAGTGCAAATAACTTAATCCTCTATTTTGTCACACAGTGGTTGTGATGTCCTAACGGAGATGTTGCTATGTCGCCACGCACCATCACATTCCAAGACTCAGAGAATGAATGTATACATACAGATTAGTGAAGCTGCCATTTTGAGTCGAGAACAAGAAATTATGTTACTTAGTAGGTTTAGAGTTGGGTTTTAGAAGGTCTACAGCGACAGAAAGGATGATGCTCAGCTCACAAGCACTGGGTGCTGCCCCTCGGCAGGCTTCCACAAAGCCTGCCAGTCAGAAGAAAATGCGCTTTTATGGGTTTAAAGAGCCCGGAGCTAATATTACAGGCGACAGCTGAGCTGAGGGGCCACATAACAAGCAGCATGAGATAAATAAGGATTTGTTTTGAACTGTGAATCATGCAATATCGTGCAATAAAAATACGTGGCTTCAAATATGTATTTTATGTCCTCCTTAATATCCTGCTCTTAAAAGGCTTATTTGTTGGACCATTTGATTTTTTTGTTTTATTTAAAGGACGGATATTATGCCTCCTTTTTTTCCACAGACTGACAAAATATCCAAAAGTCT